TGTTTTCATCCTTAAATTCCTTCAAGGATGGGAAGAGAGAGGGCATGATTTTGAAACTCTGAGTTAGGACTAGTAAAGTAGCCCGTATCATGTATTTCACCTCCCTTCCCAGAGCACGGCTGAAGGAGCAGAGGACTGCTGGCCATGCACTGACATTAACCACAGACATTTTGTAACATACTGAACAATAAGAAAAAATAACCTACATCACATATGCTGTTAGAGAAGGCCCAACCTCATGGCTTACCAAATTCAGTTGGGTAAATGGACTGCAAAACAAGGCTAAGTGAATTAAGACTGAGACCTTTCAGTACAACCAACAGAGTACCAACACCCACATCCACACTTTGCATCATGCTTGTGACGATGCGTTCTTCAGTGTCACCCCAACAGAAATGCTGACTTGGGATGATATCTCATTTAACTGAGCCATTTTTGGGGTGCAGCAGAAGGGGAAATACACTGGAGCTTAGCTAGTGCCACAGAAAGCTCCATTTGCGCCAGCTGTTGGACAGGCAGTAAGGTCTCATGCCTCACGCTAGTACATTGGGCACATCCCATCCCATGGGTCTTTATTATCACTATCTTGTGTTGGGCCACTGGAGGCAGGCTATGTGCTTCACTTCTATCGTGCCTTTTATCCTGAGAGATGACAGAGCCTTCAAACACCACTGACCTGTGAGTACAAACAAGAGGCCAATGCATTACTTCACAACAAGCTCCATCTCCAATTCTTGGAGTGATGCCTTTGCTGCACAAATCCAGATGTCAGCCTACCCCTGCCCATGTGGGGAATACATGGTGTAGCCACTGTGGTAAAGCCCCAGTTTTAACCGGTTCGCAGACACACACTGTGGGTTTTTTTAGTGTATGAGAGCTGGTATAGCTTGTGAAAAAGGCTTATGGTTAAGTTGGCTTTAATATATGATAAAGACAGTCACAAAGCATTTTGTTAACTGGCCTCGTGTCGCTGATCTTGCTGCCACTGCTTCTCCCACCCTGCGACCAGGGCACCCTGGGGAACAGCAGGAGCAGCAGGGAGAGTGTCTCTTACTAGAAATTTCCCTGGTTTTGAAGTGGTGGGGTGTACACGTCTTAGGCACAACTTCATGCTATGCACTGCAAAACACAGCCTGCCTTGAGCTGGACTGGAGCGCAGAGCCATCCCTCACGTCTGCTGCCAGGCCAGCAGCAGCAAGAGGGCCGCACACCTCCGAAGATCTGCTTTAGCACAGCACCTCTGGGTGCTGACAGACTGGCCGGGTATGCCGGGAGCGCGGGGCAAAGCCACCACGAGGCATCCAGCTGCATCTCATTTTACTGGGTACCAGCTAGTCCCTCATTTCAGAAATATGAAACTATCACAATTCTGAGAAGGAACTACAGTGGAGGTGGGAGGCAGAGGGCTACAAGGGATTAATTTTTGGACTACTGAGCACCATATAGAACATTTTCTTTAATCATTTTTTTTATTCTCCCCAAACTGAAAGCTCCATTTCCAACTAATAAAGAACAATTCTGAGAAGGAACTACAGTGGAGGTGGGAGGCAGAGGGCTACAAGGGATTAATTTTTGGACTACTGAGCACCATACAGAACATTTTCTTTAATCATTTTTTTTTATTCTCCTCAAACTGAAAGCTCCATTTCCAATTAATAAAGAGATTGAAAGGTGTATGAATTTATTTCTCATCAGAGGGATTATACTAAACTTGTAAAACAAGTCTTCAGTGCGTCATCTGTCCTAGGACACTCTGCAATGTTTGAGAACAATTAGTAAATGAATTAATTTTGACATAACTCTCTGGTTCCCACAAACACAAACATGGAAGCTGGTTTTAAAACAGCCTACAACTTCTCCTCCCTCGCACCTGTCTTTTAAAACCCACTGCAGAGCTGATCCACCGAGCGGCATTATTCTGCTGCTCACGGGGCATTCCAAACCTGCATCCTTGGAGAACAAAACCTTGCCAGAAACCAATTTTCCAGACAAATTCCTCCACTGCAGGTTGAGCCTGGGTACTGCAGGGCTCCTACAGCACGCCTGTGACGCACCACATCCCACACTGCATCTTTCACAAGTGGCCAAAACTTCTGCTGAGGAAAAGTTGAGCCTTTCTCTAAACATTTCCCCTCTCTATTGGGCCTGGGTGCTTGCGATATTCTCTTGAAAGCAGGTAAGTGCAAAGACACCTGGTACCCTGCAGTGCTGCACCCCTGCCACAAACCTGCTGGAGATAAAGTGCTGGACATGTAATATTCACAGTAAGTTCAAGGAAAGCAAGGTAAAAGCAGTTCCCTAAGATAGGCTGCAGCTAGGGGTGCAAAAACCTGACATAAAACAAGATAAATAAGGAAGGAGAACAGAATTATTTATAAAGAAATTTATTTTATATTTGTTTACAACAAGTATATGAAAACAAATTTAATTTGAAAAATGTATATTCTATTTCTTAAAAGTATTAAACCCTCTTAAGGAAAGGTTTCGGTTATTAAAAAGGTACCGAAGGCTAAAATGATGCTTGGATAATATATGTGTGTGTACATATATATATATAAAAAACATGTGCAATTTTATATATATATAGTGTATATATAAATAACGCGTGACACGATATTTTAACGTATGCTATTTAAACATCTGAGTAACAATAAAGATATTATAAAATATAGTTTGCTATTTCTACACAGTTTGCATTCAGTTTTTATAAGCATCCAGACAGTGCAAAATTTAAACATACAGAAATATTCTCCTATTATTCTATACATTGTGCTCAGCTCCAAAGCTTCCTCCGTCATGATCATAACCAGACTGAACCAAATTTGGAGGGTTCAATACTAGCCCTTACTAGCATCTTCTAAGAGCAATAAAAGGAAATCTGTCTTACCTTGCACTGCACTGTGGTATAGTTTGCGCACAAAAGAGAACAATGCATTTCCTATGTTAAATGGTCTAACTCCCAGAGATCACATACACCTCACCATATTGACTCATTTCATTGCACTCCATATCCTGCAAAAATAAATCTCCTGTAGGACAGCATACATTACTGCGTACTGAAGTTTAAGCAATATATTTCTTTACCATAAGGCAGGAATATACTGAAATTTGATAACACTTAAATCCAACAGCAATCTGGAATTAAACCACATTTATATACCACATTTTTATAGATGCTGCCTTTTTTATGTTTATGTCAGAAAATGTGGTAGAGAAAACCTACTTTTCTTTAAATAAAAGCAAGGGATAAAAGCAGTCCTTCTAGAAGAAATTGCTAAAAACCAATGGGACCAGGAGAAACTCAACCGCCCTGAACAGCAAAGGTCAGTCTGCACAACCTTTCCTGCAGCCGATGAGCAATTCCTTGCGTGACATCTGGGGGAATACTCATGTGAGTAGGTGCTCGCTACAGCAGAGCCTGAGTGTTTTAGCTCTAAATATTTAGCATCCTTATTTGCATCTATTTGATGTTAAGGTATTGTATGCTTTTTTCATGTCTTTCTTATGTTGCTAAAAAAAGGCAATTCTGACCATTCCATATGGTTTTACAGTAGCTATATCTTAACTAAAGGATGTTTGTACTTCAGATAATACGTTTATTATCACTGACATAAAAACCTCAATCCTGCTTCCATAAAAATCAATGGTTGCTTTGCTCCTACTAGAAATAAAATTGGATCCAAATACGTTAGTCACAAAGTTTGCTAATAAGAGTAAATACTATATTCATTAAGTTTCTCAATGCTTAAAGGCAAAGTGGTGTTAGCAAATACTGTATATTATAGCTCAAAGAACAGCTTTAAGCTTGAAGAACAGCTTACGCACAATTCTAGATAAACTGTTATTCAACAAAATCTAAAAGCAGCCGTGAAAAACATCTTATGGGACAGCAAATTTTGCTACCTGAGAATTTCTGGAGCTCTGACAGGCTTTTTTCAAATTAATTTCTTAATCCAACCCCCTCACTCATGTCCTACATTGCAATTGCACAAATGAGAGGCTGTGGCCTTGTAGGCAGTGTGCATCCAGACCAGCTAATCTTTAAAATTGGATACTCTAGGAGGGTCTCCCTCTTTCTGCCGCATGCATTCTTAAATTCCCTTTTAGCAGAAACTGTTGTGTTTCTGAATCCTTGTAGCAACTGACAAGATAAAGAGCCTAGTGTCATCCCTCATCTACTTCACTTCTCAAGTTTCTCTCTGCACTTGTCCATATAATTACCCCCTGCAGATTTCAACTTTAATTCAGATTTGAGTTACAGTTGCCGAACAGGCCTCACAAAAAGACAAAGCCTCATTAGTAGCCCACAAAAGTGAGCCTTACTAGTTAAAACCTTGACTTAAATACCAAACAAAGGGGAAAAATAGATGCTGAGACAATGTTTACATCCTTTCAACCACACCCTTGAAATTTTGGCAGTAAATTAGCCAAAGGATGGGCTTTACATCTCATCCATCTCTCTCAGTTGGGAATGAACAGCCATAACTACAAGTTTTTGCAGGGTGCGGCTGATGCTGGGAGATGGCTGAATACATATGACCAAAGGCTGCATGCCTCGCAAGTCAGAACAAAGCAAAGATGTGCTAGGAATTCAGGATTTTCTTATGCCCAGAAGTTTCCTACAGGCTGGAGATAAACACAAGTCCCATCTCCCACACAAAAAGGAATAGTGTTCAAACCTAGAGTAACACAGCGCTAAGAAGAAACTAATAACTAATGATGCCGAAGCCTCTCAATTTAAGGATTCCCCAAAGCAACCTCAAAGAAAACAAAGCAAAAGAAAACCTGTGGAGTCAGTCAATACATTTTTCAATCCAATTATATAGTAAATGCACCAGCAGGCAAGGCCTCAGTTCTGAAAAGGTGAGGAAGAAGAAGGATGGTGCAAAATGCTTTCATACATTTAAACATTCTTAGGATATAAGAGAGCAGGCAACTCGGAAAACATTCCTTGTAAGCTGTGTGGGATCAGCGCAGTTTTCTGCAGGCTTTGCTTCATCCTACAGCTCAGCTTTGCCTGTTTGGGCAGGACTGGCGTTACCGCTGCCTTCTCCGGCGTTGTTCTTGTCTGCTGGCTTGAAAGATAACGAAGCAGAGTTTGTGCAGTACCGTTTGCCAGTTGGGCGAGGTCCATCGTCAAAAATATGCCCGAGGTGAGCACCACACTGAAACAAAATACAATAGAGTATCACTGTGTCTCTGTGCAGCTTGATGGCATCACCGTGGTGTTAAGCAATGACTAACAGCCGTTTCCAAGGAAGCACACTGGTGCCTACATCGCCCTTTCAAGTGGGATTTACAACCTACATTTATTTGCAAGAGTGATCCAGGAAGATAATCTTCTGAGACACCACGGGCGCCTAAGACTTCAAGCCCAAATTTCCTGGATGTTTCCCATCATGCACCTGCATATGTTTGTTTGGGCCACTATTTCTGAGAAGCCTCCTGACTCTGTAATGATCTCATGGCAGGAGCTCAGTTAAAAACACAGTGGTGAGGGCAGCACTGCCCACTTTTCACTTACTGCTTGTAAGGATACCTGTGCAAGAAAGGGGCAGCCTGAGCTCCGGGCTCTCCTCAGCCTGCAGCCATCTGCTACGCCCCTCGGTAAGAAAACACTAAACCCCTTGGTGATCCCAGCAAGGACCTAAAGCAGTGAAGATATTCTTTGGAGTATGCCCTCATACTAATTTTTTTTTTTCCCCTACAGCTTGGCACTCTTCTGAGCATCAGGGTCCTTTTGGGTGCACCTCTGCTTCTCACCCCTGGAGGGGATGGAGCTCATCCACTACTCATCTCATACTACTTTCTATAGTATATAGGAGATAGGGACAGGTGACTGAAAAAGACCTGTAGTGAAGATATGTAAAATATTTCTAAATAAATAATCTTTAGCTGGGAGCAATTATAGATAGGAATGATGCTGAATTTGCTTTTTGTAAGGAATATGCAACTACTGATGGTCTGTTGACACTTTTGTTCTGTATGAATCAGCCTCAGATACTTGCAGTGGCATTCAGGATGAACACTACTGCTCCTGTCTGTACAAAAGCTAACAGTCCCTTGCTTTACAGAAGAGTGCAGTATTTCGAAGAAGCTGATCCAATTGATTCTTATTCAAAAATTAGGATTACTATCACTGCACATTATTGCTGACAACTTATCTGAATAATAAGAACTTCTTGTAATTAGTCACTTAAATTCCGCAAGTTCATTTTTACAGCCTGCCATGAGAAATAAAAAAATAAAACCTTGCACTGGAGAAATATTTATCTTGAACAGGAAAGTCATGCTGCTCTACGAAAGAGCCTTGGCCTTTCAAGTCAATAGCAGATCTCAGTGAGAGCCGGAATGATGTAACTGAGATCACAGAGCTGCTCGTGGGCTCACAGTCAGACAGCAAAAATTAAAGACTGCAAATTATTCTTAACATTTAATTAATTCATAGTATCCCAAATACATAGAGGCAATAGTGATTATTCCGAACTGTGAATGAGTTAGTGATGGCAAATCTCTACCCTGCAGTTAATGTGTTGCTAATGTTCTCCTGCTGTTACGGCCTTTAATTCACCAAAGCAGTTGGAAGGGTGTCCGTAGAAGCAGGTAAAGTCTTGGCTTCAGGTTAAACTCTCTCAACAGACTGAAAGGCTGGGGGAGGCTCTCACGCCAGCCAGGAGGGACAGAAACTCTTCTCGTTTAATGACAGCTGAAACAATAATCCTCGCTGACTCTGGGAGCAGGGCAGGTAGGTATGTGAAGCCTCAGTGCTCCCACCCGTCAGTCCCACCCATGCAGCCACATCCCAGGGCAGGCTCCCTGCGCCTGGAGAAGTGTCCCTGAAACAGCCATGGCAGTCCAGCAAGGACCTCAATAACAAACAAGGGTGCTTCTAGCCTGTGGTATCAGCAGGATGAGCTCCCAGATGTAATGGGAAAAGGCATGGATGACTTCGGGTTAAGCAGCAGCTGCTTGGCTTTGTAAGGAAGGAAGACAAAACATGGCAAATAAGGAAAAGGCGAAGGAAAGTTGCATGGGAACTAGAGAAGACAAAGCTTCAAGTCTTGTTCCTGAAAGACTGCTGTCTCGCCACCCTTTCCTCCCTTCCCCCCTGTTTATTTTATTTCATATTCCTTCAGATTGAAGGCCTTTTTTAGGCAGTTTGGGCAGAAAACCTGAGCTGTTTCTCAAGAGTGGGGTCTCTCACAATGAGGCATTTCACCCGCTTATAAAGCTTTCCCATACCTTGGGAAAAGAAAAAAATCTAAAAAACTGTAAGGGTCCCAGAGAGAGTATTTTTCTAAATGCTCAGCATCCTAATTAAATCATCTCATCTCAACTAAGAATGCTTCAAAACCTCCTGGCTAGCAGTGTTAAATAGATCTTTTCCAGATTAACATTTAACAAAAGAGAAATCATTCCCTCTCCGCTGGTCAGAAACAGAACAAGAGAAACCGTAGAGAGAAACCGTCTGCAGGAGGAATATACTCACATACAGACTACAAAGACAATCTATCAAAAAGGTTTTCCTCACAAAACCTGAGAAGCTGTGTGAGAATCCAAGGTAGTCTATTACACCTTCTTGTGATGGCAGAATCACACCAGGATTGGATTACTGCAAAATTTGTTACCTTTTGAGATTACCTCTCACCAAAAATTTATGTGGCGATTCTCTCTGTAGAGGACTCTATAACTCATCTGCCCTGAAAAGAAACGTAATTCAATCCTTTGTATCACAGTATAAGAAACCTGGCTCTCAGCTGAGAGTACAAAGGATGAATTGATTTTGCTGTCCTCCCCACACATAATAGGTGCCGACCATTTTTCTAGGACGTATATCCATGTCTGCAAAGCCTCCCAAAAAGAAACAATCATCTGTTGCGGCCTTGCACATAAATGTATTGGGCAGAATGCACTGGGACGGTGAAACGGTTAGAGTAAAGCATTTGAAGTATGTGTTTGGGAACAGGAAAGAGGGGGTCACAGCTAACTGTCAGTATGCTTGGATCTCCCAAGCCTCCTGGTTCTAATATGAAGCTGGGAGGCATGGAAAGCAGCTTGCAGTCAGCTGCTGTAGCTGAGTCTGAGCTATCACTGTGCAAACAGTACTTCTGCGACTCCAGAATTTTACTGATTTGTACAGGTACAAATAATAGCTAGGGAGACCTCAGGGGAAGGGACTCTCGAGCAGGAAAGAGGGAAAAAAGAGAGATGCAACCAGTCTTACAGTATTCCTCAAATGCATTTGTAATTAACTTCTACCTGTCACTAATCATTGACCTTCTATATACAGCCAGGGTGATGTGTTTCCAAAAAACCGTAAAAGTTACTTCTAGGATAATCCCATGGATGTGTTTGATTAATATTACAGCAATTTCCCCCAGTATTTGCTTTCTATAATGGATAACATTAAAAGAGAAGTTTTTTATTCTCTCAGACAGGTGGAAGGACTTTTGAAAAAAAATCAACTACTTTTTCATCTGCAGAAGATTAATAAGGTTTTGGGTGTGGGAGAGGGTATTTCTCTCCAGTTCTACCAAAGCCTGCCATATCAATCCCACTGCTTTCCAGGCTGCACTAAAACTGCGTTTTTTTTGCAGCTGCATGTGTGATTCACCTTCCTAGGGCTCCAAGAAGGGGAGGAAATGGTTTTGTTATGGATATACAATGCGTCTGTATTAACTGTGCTGAACGGGGCTGCAAAGATGCTCACCACTCCTCAAGTTATTTTCCTGCGTGACGATTATCAGTAGGGTGACTGCTCCAGAGTAGCCGGTAGGAAGTTGCCATTGGATTATATAGCAACCTTGGTCGTATTTTTTTCTTAATGCTTTAAATTCGGGTTTTGGTTTTGCTTTAATTTTATGGCATCTGTGTGTGACTGCTGCTAACGCTGCTGGTCTCAGGTCTGCTAACGCTATTTTGTTTGGCAACAGGTAAACGACATTCCCAGATTCCTTGGTCTGACTACAGGCTGCCTTTGGTTTCTCTCAGGTGAAACCAGGAGCTCTGGCCGTCTCTTGAAGGGTGTCAGCAACACAGGCTCAGCAGGTTGGCAGTATGCTGATTTTAGCACTATTCAGGCCTACTAAGCAGAGCTGAAGAGAGTGGGTTGCATTTTTGATTAAGCCAGTAATCACTGGTGAAGCACGAGATTCCCAGTCTGCAGTCCCATTGCTACCTTGCCAGAGAATTTAGGGAAATAGATATTCCCAAAAAGTGTTAAAAGGATCATCAAAAGCATATAATCAATGTAAAAACTACAGAATTATGTAGTACACATGACATCTAGCAGACATGCTGATTTCGGCCATTAATGCGTTGGGCCACTCTACCCAGACTGAAGTTAATGGATTCTCCATAAAGACAATCTTGCCTCTTTTGGGGAAGCTTCTTAACTCACTCCGAGCATTTATATATGAGGACTGACTGACTAGTAAGGATGCATATTGTCAGGTACGAAATCAGTTATCCTTCCATCAATACTATCTGGAAAGAAAACGACAAATTCTCATGGCCCAAATGAAGCTGCTGCTTCTCTCAGGAGGAGTTTGAGCACGTAGAGCTAGAGGACTGCAAGCTGCTGGGTATGCCTGCCAAACGCCAGTGCAGCAGCTTCTCCCTTTGCTAGGTAATGACTATGCCATTCTCTTCACAGAGAAGAGGGCAGCACAAAGGATGAAAGTAGAACAAGACAGATAACGGAAAATTTGGGCATGTTTTGAAGGACTACTGACTTCATTATTATGGCAGATGGGATTGTTTGAGGCAGCCATTAGGACTGCACTGGGAATGTGCGTTGGGAATGAGTTAGCATGGCTGCACAGTAATGCACAGTGATGGAATCAGCACACAGTCAGCCGCTCCACTGCTTTCAACTTCCCTCTCAACTGCTCACGTGTGGAGTCAGTCGGCCAGGCTCAGGCTCAGGAGCTCCTTTGAAGGGACCCTCTTCAGGAAGACAATTTTTGTAGACTCAGCACCAAGTCCAACCATTTACATCTGCTCTGTTAAATCTCACCCGAGACAACAATGTGAATTCCAACGAGCCCTTTGTGCCTTCAGCTCGTTCCACCCAGCTGTTATACCTACGACCCATTGTGCTCTCTCACAATGATTACTATTTAATGGAACTGAAAGGTTTGCAAATCTTAGGGAAAGTACAGCATGCTATAATGATTTTTGCAGCCTTTGCCATCAGAACGGTCTGTGTGTGCTATAAACTAACCTGACTGCAGGATATTTCAATCCGATGCATCCCATAGGAGAAATCATCGTTGAAAGCAATTGCATCGGGACTGATCACATCATAGAAGGAAGGCCAACCTGGAAAAGAGGAACAAGATAATTAAGAAAAGAGGGCGTCTTGGTGGCAGATGGCATTGTAAAAAGCATGACAGAATCACACTTTGAAAAATGTTTATGTCACTCCAGACCTTGGAAATAACTGAAACAGAGATTTGGGATCCTAAATCACTTAGGTACTTTGGAAAATTTCCCCCCTAAATACAAAGTTGTTTACAGGCAAGGACTAAGCTGCCACTAGCTGCCCATCTTCCATCTCAACAGAGATTCCTGCACTCCACCACAAGCAGCGGTAGCAGCTTAGCTCAGGCATGAAGGCAGTTGCTCAGGTAAGCCAAAGTCAGCCTCACCATCAGTTTAAAAAAACCACAAATTTAACCCTGAAGACAAACAGTGAGACTTTATGGAACGCAAGTGTTTTTGCTTTTGCAGTGTAAAGGTACTTCAAAAAAGAGTTGGTAAGTTGCAGTTTAGAGCCTCAAAACCTGCCTTAACCTTTGCCTTCACCAAAGCATGGTCACACCCAGAAGGATGTGCTCGGACCCTGACCCATCACACATTAGAGGCAATGAGATGACTACTATTGTGTCTAATTTCTATTGTGTCTAATTTCAAAACAGTAATGAGTGCTTCAGATCAGCCATGGACAGGTGGAGTCATAACTATGCCTATATTAGGCACTAGTAGATGGTCTGCATGTGGTCTGCATCCAGGACAAAACAATTGCACTCATTAACACATATGTTCAACACACCTGCTAGCTGAGCACTGAGCAGTGTGACCTGACACCAGATGATGATGAGGTGTATGCCTGATCTACAAGTAATGGCCAGTTATCATCTAAATAATGACCTTCCACTCTTCAACCATTCCATGCCAAGCCTCTCCCCACAACACAGCTAAAAACCAATGCAGGTCTATTCAGTGTCCCAGTAGATACCCATTACACAGTTGTAACTTTTCAGCCAGCCCTCAAAAACCTGTCATCATATGCTCCATTTCCTGAAGCTGGGTTCCTACAGAAGAATCTGATAGGCTTTAAGGTCACGTCAACATCTGTGCCCATCTGAAATCCCACCAGCTGTCTGTCCTTCTCATTCAGTCTCTTGCCAAGTATCATAACGTGCACAGGCAACTCTTGCTCTATGTGTATTACACATATGCCTACGTATACAGAACTTCCTTGTTTCTTCTTCTAATATCTGTTAAGCATTTGCTACTGTTGATTTCATAAAATGACTTGCCATAAGCTATTAAGAAACACAGCAGCAGCTGTGAATCGCTGCATGCAGATGAATAAAGGATGTATACAGCTTCCCATAAGTAAAGTGAGTAAAATTTCCTATACAGTAAAAGGATGTGTGGAAGCGATCAAGTTTTTTGAATGTGGGTAAAGTGTGTAAACTGGAAAAAGATCTGTATGTCTTCGGTTGTATCTTAAACCTTTAAATATGGAAGAACACTTATTAAGATGCAAGCATAACAGGCATAATTTTTAAGAAAGAAATGCTCAGAAATGCCTTTCTCTTCCTTTTGGGAACACCCATATAGTAGCACTCCTAAGCCTGTAACCTGGAGGCATTGCAAGTCCCCAGTCCTATGCTCCCAAGGTGCCTACTACTATTGCAAGTGTTTCCATCCCAGAACTCACCGCAAAAGTAAGTAGAGACATTTTTTCCCCCAAGAGTATTGCAAATGGAAGAGTTACAGAGAGCAGACAGATTGAGGAGCAAGAACGCTGAACAGGGAAAATATCCCACAAGACAGGAACTCAAAACAGTGCAGCAATGACAACCGTAAAAAAACAATTTATAAATTCTTCCCCTCATGCAAAATATCCCTGCCAAACAAATACCTTTACAAACAGAAAAGGAATAAACATATGACAAGTTTTGCAAAAGGGGTTATCCTGTTGACAGAAAAATTGATGTCTCCTAATTGGTAGCTCCTTTCCAACACCATTCGTCATCTTCTTAGCTGGGCCTCTGTCTAATGAAAATTGAGGCATTACACAGAGCTGGTCAGAATATTTTTAATGAAGCCTTTTTAGTTTTTTTAATTTAATAATTTTGCAAAACAGACATACCAGTTTGCCCTTGTGTGATGGCAGAGAAGTTCCAAAGAGGGAGCTGTCTGGAGCAACCAACTATCTGATCGTGTGAAAGCCTCTGGAGGAGGAACACTTCTGTGCTGCAGAAATTCTCAAAGACAACCCTGCCTCCTCCATAGCAGCAATAAGGGGGAAGCTTCAAAGGCTGCTACACAGAGATTGAAGCAATCTGTGTCTTGCTGAGAAAATTATCTTGTGAGAAGGGTTTGGAGGAGAAGTGTTTATGTCAGCTTTGACATTAAAGGAAGACCATCCATCCTCCTTTCTCCAGACTTTTCCTTTTGGTCTTCCCATTCACCACAGAAAAATTATTTGCTTTGGATGCACTCCATGCACTTTTGAAAAATGAAGTCATCTGAAACCTATATAAACAGGCAAGCTCCTCCCAAAGTAGCCTTTGTACCCAACTGGAGTGACTTCAGTTTAGGCTGTCAGTTCATGCTACATGTGACACATGTTCCCAAGGCTCCACCGCTGCCACACATGGTCCCCAAGACAGGGACTAGGAAACAGCCTGTGCATCCACAGTGTGGACTTTTAACTCTCAGTCATGCCATGTCTTCTTGAGTGACATGGCAGACCAGGCATCAGCATTGCTGTCACGAACCAGTAACTCCATGACGGTTGACTGGAAACTGAGCAAACCCTGCAAAAGAAAAGGTCCTGAAGGGCACGTTGAGACACACTGTCACTCTGCTGACCTTGAGAGGAAGACAAGTGAACTGCTCATTGAGTTGATGAGCCAAACTCACCAGGAAAATCAATCCCCCTCTGCTGTCTCATTTCCTCTCTCCTGAGCTAAAGTGGAAAACCCATTTGATAGTTTGCTAAGCCTTCTCTGGCCATTTTCTCTACCTCAAAAGCTGCCAGGAACAAGCTGTAGAAACAGTCTGCTTGCCTGCACACCAGGCAACTCCCACTGACACAGAAAGCCAGCCAGACCCCTGTGGACTCTTCATACGATCTTTCTGTCTTTGTAAGTGGTAAATGACCCAGCAGTGGCCTCCACTTTGCAAGGCCCAGGCTACTTCTCCTGCTGTCTCACCGGCTGCTGCTCCTCCACTCCTGTCCTCCCGCGTGCCTGCCTCCTTCCTGCTGTAAGGCTGCAAAATGGCTGACTCCCTCTACACTCGAGACTGCTGTGAGCTGTGCATTAAAGCTTCAGCCTGCCTTTGAAGGCTATCTGGCTACTCGCAAAGGGCATGCTTCTGCAGGAATGGGGGGAAGAAGCCCATTTTGGCTCTCTTCTGCTTCTGCTTCTGCTGAGAAACAGTAACCCTTAGCACTGCAGAGACTGAGCGCTGGAGGAGACCCTTTGCAAACACTGGTGCCAAGACTGAACCCTCCCCGGGTGATGGCTTTCTGTCAGGTCTAGCTCACCACATCTGATGGGCAGCAGGAGCGGCGCCGCTGCCTTTTGAAGGATGGTAAAACGTAACAGCTAGGAAGAAATAGCTGCTGGAGGAAAGGGGCAAAGGGTAATTGCAGGAGACAAGATGGGGGTGGGGGGAGTCTCCCAGCTGAGTGAACAACTTCAAATGACATTTGCACATTTTTTTTGTGTGTGTGAACAGCAGCTAAGACTTGTGAATACATTTATCCTTGAATGTAAAGTTTAGTTTGAGGGAAAGTATGACACAATAACCGTCAGCAATTTTTATCACTTTGTAGACATTTAAAATGGGCTTATTCTTATTTTCACAATCACTTTGCATCACACTGGCAATATAAAAGGGCTTTAAAATAAGAGTCTGTTGTGTTTGTGCTCACTCTGATGACCCTTTACATGGGAGTCAGGCCGCTATATCCTAAGGGCCAGTTTCTGGTACGTTAATAAGCCAGCCACGGAGATGAATAGCTTTTCAGATATATAGCAAGTATCCTTTCTTGGATCTAAAATACACTAAATGAAGCAATGAAACTTTCTTCTGTCAAGTACTTAAGTGAAAACCATGTGTAAACTGAACATTACTGACAGATCTTTTCCGCTCCATCCTGCATGAGTAATAGAAAGGATCTTATGCTGCTGGGTGTCACACATACTGAGTCATGTCCATTCCTCCTCATTCTGGGACATCCCCCAAATACTTCGTAAAAGCTGCACAGCATTTCTAAAATTCACCCCACTCCCCCTCACCAAAACCGAATCTTTTGTTTTTCATAATGGTCCCTATTCTGGCAAAGAGGAGACAGCTGTTCATGCTTCTTCGTCAAAGAACGCTTTCTTCAGAGCAGAGACGGCCTGGTACTGCCCTGGGCAGCAACACTGAAGAACAGGGAGGAAGAGAAATGTTGGCTCTGATAAACTACGCTGGATGCTGCTTTTGCAGCCCTGGGCATAAGGTTTCAAACCATGCAAAAGAGGCATCTTCTTTCTCACCTTCAGACCTCCTATTCTCGGCACCTGATTGAGTCCATATTACTAACGAGTCACCTAAGGCAGGCACCTATACAGGCAGCTGGCACAAGATGAGCGTCACGACAACACAGGCAACCAGCACACAGCAGTCCCAGACAGCTGACAAACTGAACGCTTTGTCTCCTTCTTAAATTGAGATGCCGAAGCAGTTGTAATGCCTGAGTAAGGCAGCGACAGCAAACAGCGTGCCTACGGTCCAGCCCCCCTTGCGTGTTCCTGGTAGAGATACGAAACCCCAGCAGGAGTGGATTGTTTCTTTCATATTAACTCAGGAAGTTCTCAAGCACCTCATCTCATGGGCTACTCCAGGATTCTTTCTTGGGGCAATGCTGACCTCATGCAAAAAAAGACATTTTGTTCCCATAAACTTTTGGAAAGCAGTCCAGCTGTTAATTGATTGATCGATTTTAGAAGCATCTCAAACCTCCTTCCAGTTTTGCAAGTTTGCACACATTTTGTTGTAGTTAGGTCTCCAACTTCCTAATAAATGGATGCAAGCACTTAAGACATCTAACCGTTAAAATATGAGTCTATAATTATTTGCAGAAGCAAAATGGCAGGCTGCTTTTGAAAATCAGCCCTGCTAGGCTATTTTTTCCCCTCTCCTGAACTAATATTCCTTTTGACATTTTTTTGAACAGCACAATTGCAAGCCCAAAGCATCTAATGCTCTGACATTATTCCCATTTCAATACACCTGCCGACTGGAGACCTCCACAGTTTTTCAATAACTGTGATGTCTGCAGTTATGTTTTTCATTTTAGATCCCAAAGAGATTAAGTTCAACCTGCATTTTATCATTCTTTGCTGTAATTATTCCAGGCATTTACTTCAGTGAGTTATTTACAGACAGAGAAGTAGGGGGAGATGGAAGATGTTAGAACTACCAAATGGCACCAGATGGAAAAGAGGACCTTGACCTGAAAAATACCGTGTTTCTCTGATGTGTTGTATTTTTAGAATTCTGATTCCCTTTTAACCTAATGCGGATTAATGAAAACCCAAAGGCTTTTTAAGGTAGAGTCTCATCATTTATCTTCACTAGATATCTTCACAGAAGCTATGTCTGTGTAAAAGCATAAAGCGTATAGGATTAAAAAAAGGTAATAAAGCTTCTGCTTTGAAACTGCTGTAAAGCTGAAGGGCCTTCACTTTTTTCTTTCTCACAGGTTTATTGAAACAGAATCTGAAAGATGCAGGCATCCACAGCTGTAACTTCTCACATACAAGTTTAATGTAGAACTACAAAGTGACATATTGCTATTATGTAGAATGCCTGTCCAGATATAGGGCTTTTTTTTTGGCTAACATCCTGGGTTATTTTTCATAATATCTCCATGATGATGAATGCACAGTAAATATTCTTACTTACAAATATTTCACCATCAGGTAACGCTATTTTCAGTGGAGGTTCATCTAATTTACCCAAATGTAGCTAGAAACAGAATCACACACAGAAACATACTTGTTCACCAGCAAATGACTTTACATTAGATAGATATTCCACTGGAAAGAAAACAGTCGGTGCTTTCCAGCACCATCCAGATATAAGAAGGACGACATGGTACTGTTTTTAGCAGAACATGCGGTGTGTCGGAGTGGTAGCTAGGTTGAGGGGCGGGGGAGACAAAGGCAAAATGAAGCTTCATTTTGGAAGGAAAAGTAAAGAGAGGGCTTATCTCTAACATGCTACCTGTCTCTTAACAGCAAAGTTGGGCTACCGCAGCAGGCAAATACCACTCTGACAGAACAGTGTGGGAAGGGAATTTTACAAAACAACTGAACTTCTAATAGCAGCTTTTATGAGACCATCTTCATCTGTTTTTTTCTTTATGCTTCTCACTTGAGAAATAAAAAAGTGAAAGCCATAAATAAAGGTGGTATTTGTTTTCTTCCACTATGGCACTCTGAGCATCAAAACAACTTACTGTGAAACAGCATATGCAATCCAGATTTATTTCTTTGCTAGTGGGAGGAGGTTATGTTTGTTTAAAATGATTGTTAAGGGAGATCTGAAACTTCGCATCTACAATTTCATTTGACATCTGAATTTTTCAGAACAAGAGTGCCCCTGATGTCTCTTGAGCAATGAAAGCATGGTGCCTGCTCTCTTCAGCAATGAATAACTGTATCACAATACTGCTATTTCCCTAGCTGCTTCCTTAGTCCTTTCACTGTGCTCTAAAATACTGCTAAATACAAGCCGTCTATTTTGGAGCTTTCCTCTGTAACACTCCAGACACCTCCAATGTCTGGGCTACTGCTAAAATCAACAGGTAGGCAGGAGCTGGGATCTTCCTCAAGTCTTCTTCCAAAGATTGAGTTACTAATGGTTTCTTTCTTGGTTCAGGTTCAACAAAACTACTGAACCTAACTCACTTCCTCCCAAAGGATGGGTTTCTCCCCTTATCTGAACAGTGTCTCTTGTTACTTTAAATCATGGCTAATGTTTTTAAAAATACATCTTACACATAAGTCAGCTGTAGATCTTCAGCATCAAAGGAACCAAACAGAATCATGTGAAGCAGTGTAACCTTAAGCTATAATTTTAAAATGCCATCAAGAAATGTCTCAAATAGTTTTAAAAATTTACTGTTGACCTAGTAACCTCAGTCCAAAGCATTCAACTTCAAATAAATGTTTTTGTTTTCCTTCCAAAAGCAGTATTGGTAAAACAAACGTATATATTGCAAAATATCTTGCAGTCAGTATACCTATGAGTTACCTGTGCAATTCACTAAAATAACTGAAGCTTTCATATAGGATGAGTAAATCGGGATAGCAGTAGAGCTGGCAGGCCTTACGATGGAAGTGATTTGACAAAACTGGAATCCTAATGCAGTGTGTTCACAGAGAAAGTAAAAAAAAACCCAGCAAATGCAACCTTGTAATAATCAGCATCTGGCACTGAAATGAACAGCAGTCACAGATGAAGTACATATTTGAAAAATTTGTCACGGGGTGTTTCAAGTAATGAACATCCACAATTTGTTTGTTGAAATATTTTCCTGTACTATTGTTATGCATGTCTGGGAAATAAAGTTTGTAAAGAACAGCCAGAACTCAGTTACACACTAAAACTGAAACTACAGAGGTAGAATTCTGACAGAATTATTTTTAACTCAGAAAAAAAAGCAGCCTTCTACTCCTTCTACTGAGCCTTCTTCTACAGACAAGCACCCTCCTCATTACAGCTGGACAAACAGGCTCTCATTGCAGTTATA